CTATCGTGACTAATTTATCGTTGAATTCGTTATGATGGACTAACTGACCTGCCTTTTCATCCTCACCCATCGCCTCTCACTGGTACCCCGCTAGTGTATACCGATAGCTCAGGTAGGGTTACCATGCTATTTTCACCCATTAAAAAAACTACCTATTCGAAAACTACTATTATTACCAGAAGTTCCACAACCTTTCTTCATATTAGCCATCAATCTCTGACTGCCATTTTGTTCACGCACGTCTTGCGACAAATAGAAAATATATCGCTTCCGCAAGATAACACTTAGTTCAGTAAAAACACTTTTTATTTAATTTGCAATGTATATAGGGTACTTTTTATTATAATTGATAATAGAATGGTAACCCCGCCTGCGCTATCGGTATACACTGACGAGACACTAGAGAGAGATGGTAAGTGAGGATAAAGCAGGTCAGTTTAGACCACAGGTACAAAAGTTGATTGCTTGGTTCGTGTTTCAACCGTAAAGCAGTTGTGTTTGCATGGCTGTGTTTCGGTTTGAAGGGTGGGATATGGCGTGAATTTACTGGGTACGGAGGAATAACACCTGAGTCCTCAGGAATGGCAACGCATGGGGGGTATCATGGGCGAAACAGTATACTCTGTTATGTACATGGCACTGCTCATGTCTATAGGCGACGGTTACCACTTTCCATCAGGTGGGCCGTCAGCTTGTTTGTTCATTCTAAGTTGTAATAAAAAAAAATCTATCGTGATGAATTTATGAAAAATTAACCACGATGGTTTCCAGGGGGATCCACTTGGAGATCGACCTGTTAGTATATATAGCTTGCAATGGGTTCGGCAGTTCGCATTACTAATAATCCCTTCCCCTCATACAGGGTAGATTATATCAAACATTGTAATCTAAATTGTTCTCATTATTTATAAGAATAATTTTATTTATTTATTTAACTTTTTATTGCACCATAAACAAAAATATACAATGACAAGTGAATAATTCAAGTGAAATACAGTAACATAAATACAGATTGAAATATACACATAAAGGTACAAAAGGCGGTCTTATCGCTAGGGCAATCTCTTACAGACAACCTTTGGTTAAAGGAGGACAGATAGAAGTGGGCAGGTGGCGCAAGAGTGAATTAATAATTTTTCGTGCATAAAATACAAAAACCTGTAATGCACAAAAATATTAAATTCATATAATTTATTGAACTACTTACTATAATATATATATACATATAAATTACATAAACATACACATATAAATACATACATAGCACACACAAGGAAATATGACAAATCTAATCAAAAATTTACATAGGAATGGAAAAGAGTAACTACAGTGAAAGAAAATGTCATTTGACTTGTCCTTTAAACGATAATCTTAATCTTTCCAAGTCTTTTCTATTTTAATCAACCAGTACACCACAGAGAAAAGGTGAATTAATTGTAAATGGAGACTAGACAGGGCAGCGCAGAATGTAGGTCAAACGGTGCTTAGATAGGAGAGCACTTTGCGCAATCTACGTTAATGAATTACGGTGTCGAGATACAATCTTCAAGTACTGTATATACTAGTGGATTTCTTATATTTTTTTCTAGCAATAATACAGATTTACGGTTCATATTAGACATTACATTTTTTTCTGTACTATTCCAATTTGTATGGGAAATATATGGACGCAAAGAGACATGTAATAAAATTTCGAATACCAGCAGCAATAATTAAATTAAAGTTATTAATTAAAGTTGGTTGAAAAAAGGAATTGATATTCTATTATTACCATTACATTATTACTATAGGTAGTATTACTAAAGAAAGATTTCCCAAAAACCCCAAAGGAAGTAAGATAAACATACCTAGCTTATGGGTATACAATATTTAAGCAACAATCTTATTTGCTTCCGTCTTTCTAGGGGTCGAACAATCACGAATTCGTGTATCCCTCAATTCATCTAAATTACTTAGCGTTCGTACAAACATTAGGACATGCTGCAAAGATTTACAAGCCTGCCAGTTGGACAACCATCCGTCCGGATTTTCCCGGACACGTTCTTGTCCGTCCGCTTTTTATTTAGATGAAAAAATGCTGAAGGAGCGTTTCATTTTTATGTTAAAACATTTTAAAATAAAACATAAGTCATGTAAACAGCGTGTAGGGCGTGATATTACATACATTTTTCATATTGTACTTAAAATGTTCAGACTTTTTTTGATGTCCGGTCTTTGTCGGGTCTCATGAAATTTGAAAATGGTAACCCTACATGCAAGGGAGATGCCCTCTGGCTATAAATTAATTTGCAAGCTGTAGTTACGAGTAGGTGGCGATGTACGGAGGTTTGATGGCTGGATTTCGTTTTCGGTGATATGTGATGTTGTTTTTTAATTTTATACTCTTTATGGACGGAATAAAGTTGTTATTCAGTTGATAATTGTTAGTATTGTTGTCGAGTAATTATGTGACATCGGCAGCAGAGACATGGACGTAGGTTGTGCTGTGTTGTATGTCTTTAATTAATTTATTTAAAAATATCAATGTTGCAGAATTTTCATCCTTTGTTGTGGTCATATTTTTTTACGATACTAACAGTCGAGTGCATCGAAACTATAATAATTTTGATAGTTTTTTTTTAATGAGTGAATATGGAACGGTGACTCCGTTTGCACTATCGGTATACGCAGGCGGAGTACCAGTGAAGGGTGACAGGTGAGGATGAAGGCAGGTCAGTTGGCCCATAGTGACCAATTGAACAAAAATAAACCACTGTGGTTTCCAGGGAGAACCGCGAGGAGGTCGACCTGGTAGGGTGTATTGCTAGCAATCCCTTTCCCCCCTAATTTTGATAGTTAATAATTACACTAACTGGCATTTAAACCTAACTTTTATGTGCATTATTGAAAAGATCGAATTGGCAATGAGGAGGTCCTGCTTAGGGTTAAGGAAAAAAGACAAATTATTAGAACTATTGAGGACAGAAGGGGAAAAATGTTGGGACACTTGATACGACACGACGAACTTATGAACATTATAATAGAAGGTAAGATAGAAGGAAGGAGGGGGAGAGGGAGACCGAGACATAGTTACATCAGGCAGATCAAGGAAGGAGTTGGTGTCGTGTCGTATCAAGAGGTGAAGAGACCCGCTGGAAATCGTAGTGAGTGGCAAGAGCTCCACCGACTAGAGCGCAGCTCTTAATTAGAATAGATAGATTGAAAAGTTAATAGGGTAACTATGGTAAAGGTCATACAAACCAATGGTTTACCGAATGAAATGCAATTTTTATACTTTTTTTTTTATAACACTAAGGCGGCAAACAAGCAAGCCCGCCTGATGGTAAGCGGTACTAGTGTAATGTATTCTCTCTGTCGTAGCCTATGAACGTCTGCAGTACCAGGGGCATTGCGCGCGTGTTGCTGACAAAACCATTATATAATTATGTATAATATATAGTTAATAAATTGCAATAGTATTATATCAAAATATTGTTGAGGTAGACAAAATATGCATTCGTATTTCCATGCTATGTTATCGTCGCCTACCCACAATTTCTTAAAATAACAAATGGCCCCCAAATATATTTACAATTTTACTTTTTTACATCACAGATTGAGATTACTTGATCTTAACATAAAGAAACAAGACTAGTTAATTAATTAAATTACAAAATACAAAGGTACACTCGACGCAGAAAATAAATTAAAATTTTTAATAACAATTACAGGTAACTTTTTGTTCATTAAAAAATCTTTTATAAAATTGCAAATTATACATTTATGTTTAACAACATCATTATTATCTCAACCATTATCTGTTTATATTTATCCTTAGAGGTTAATTTAAATACACAATGTGACTGTAGTAAAAAAATATAGTTTTATGTTAAATTAAATGTTGCCTGTCAGTTTTGATCTTAACTACTAATTTAACCGTAGACGGCTGATTTAACGGTTAACAAATTTTGAAGCACGCGGCTGTAGAATAGCAAACAAGCTAACGGTCCATGTGATGGGAAGTGGACATACGGGAAATATAGTGAAATTTCCTGTATATATTTTGATATAGTGTTTCTTCTTCTTCTTTTCTTTTTTTAATAATGGCTTCCACCGTAGAAGCAACGGTGATTTTCTGCCAATGTCAAGGTTAGAGAAGACTCCGTGTAATTTATATTATGACATTTTTCAGTAATGTAGATAAATCATTCAGTCGAGTTCTCTGGAAAGGAAAGAAGACAACACAAGATATGTTATATACATGCAAAGGAAAAATAAATTTAATATGACATGTGTGTATGAGTGTATTATAGCAAGATGCAGTGTTTATATTATAGCAAGTTTTATAGTATAAGGTCTACTCTTGAATCTAATATCGATATCGGTTCAATATATGATTAATGACAATACAACGATTACCAGAGGGAGACTTTGTACAAAAGATGATTGCTTGGGTACCTCTGTCCCATTCGTGTTTCTACTGTGAAGCAGTTGTATTTGCATGGCTGTGTTTCGGTTTGAAGGGCGGGATATGACAGTGAATTTACAGGGTACAGAGGAATAACATCTAAACACGATGGCTACCAATTATCATCAGGTGGGCAAACAAGCAGACGGTTGTTTGCCTCTCTTAAAGGTGTCGTAAGAGGCGACTAAGTGAGGGCGAGGGATGGGTAGCAGCGTTGACAATCCGCCTGCCAAGCGTGGCAACTATTGCGAAAGTCCCCAAGGGCAAGGCTTATGTTCAGCAATAGATAGTTAAAGGCCGAAATGTTGATATATATATATATATATATATATATATATATATATATATATATATATATTTATATTATTAAATTAATATATAAATTATTCTATGTGTTATGTTAGGACATAACCTATTCGTGTACTAAATATGATTTAAATACATTTTGTAATTTTTAAGTAAAGAAAAAAAAAATTTATTCATACAAACAATAACAAATTTTCTAATTTGTAATAGTAGATTATTGTAAAAATATATTTTTTTTTTATTCCAGGTTCCATCTACTGTATTTAACATCGGGCAGGGAGGTACGTAACTTTTAATTAATTTAGAATTCAGTAGCTAATTCGTTTAGAATAATTATACATACGATAACTCAAAATATCGTATTGTACTTTTGCTTGTTTGTAATTGTTATATTCTCGTGTTAATTAATTAATATAAATTTCATAATTATGTATGTTTTAAGAAATATACGTTTTCACCAAATTTAAATTTGACTTCAGATTTAATAAACTTAGTAACTCTTTTAGCATCGGATAATAAAAGCAAGTAAGGTAGTTTTACTTAGTTTCTTTCCATTGTAGACAATGATAGATAATGAAATTAAAAAATAAAATAAATAAAAGTAAAGAAAAGTGACGCAGTGTAGAACGACCCCCCACTAGATGGAGCGACGATCTGAAATGCATTGCAGAGAGTCAGTGGATGCAGGTGGCTCAGGACCCTTTGTCTGGCATGGCAGTCTGATGAGGAAGGCTTAGTCCAGTAGTGGACGGATAATGGCTGAAATGATGATGATGATGATGATGAAAGAAAAATTAAAGGAGATGAGCTCACCATGTTTCTTAAATTACTTTTTCTCTTTATAATATTAGTTTACATGTTTTGTATCTATCTACACAGATCTCTATTTTATTTATCCGAATCAAGAGATATATTTTAACCAAATCAATTATATTTCGGAAGTAAAATATAGCTGTTGTTATACGCTGATATTTTAGCTTTTTATAGGTTAAAGAATTTTTAAAATCGGTCAAAAGTATTGTTTTTAATTTATCCATCCCAAATAGTTTCTTTTTTGTCTTAGTTTACATGTTTTGTATCTATCTACATAGATCTCTATTTTAATTGTCTAGATCGAGTGAGATATTGTAACCAAACCAGTTATATTTTGGGAATAATATATAGCACCTGTTACATGCTAATAATATGGCTTTTTACAAATATGAACTTTTAAAATCGGTAAGAAATATTTTTACTTTAGTTTATCCGTTACAAATAATCTTTTTTCCTCAATATAATATTAGTTTACATGTTTTGTATCTACTCGTATCTATTCCTATACCTTCATTTTAATTATCCGGGTCGAGTGAGATATTTTAACCAAATCAGTTAACCTTTTGTTCTCTATCCTTTATAATTGCAAATTCGCGATGTGAATAGTTGTGGTCTCTTGATACAATACAGTTTGAACCCTTACCTTATATAGTATGCTGCGGTTTGAATATATATAGGGTGGAATCGAAATCATTAGCATTATTTTAGATTGTAAAAGATTGATTAATAAAAGATTTTGGGGTTACAAACTTGATAGTTATTTTAGAAACTTTATAGTAACCCCACCCCACCAGTATTATCCGTATACTTTGGCTGGGTATCAGTGAAAAATGATACGTGAGGATGAAAGTAGACCAGTTGATCCATTGTAACGAATTCCACAAGAATAAATCACCTAATAGGTGGTCGACCGGGGAGAAAGGGATTGTTAGTAATGGAGTTTGACAGCACCATTGCTAGCAATATGCCTTATTAGGTCGACCTCCACGTGGTTCCCCCTGGAAATCATCGTGAACAATTCTTGTTGAATGCGTCACGATGGGTTAATTGACCTACTTCATCCTCACCTATCATTCTTCACTGGTGCCCCGCCAGTGTACCGATAGCACAGGCGGAGCTGCCATTCCATTATCACCCATTAAAAAAAAAAAACTCTGCTTGCGCTATCGATATATGCTGGCGGGGCTGATAGATGAGTTGTGGAGTTCACCACAAGAATTAACCTCGATGGTTCAGTTAAACAGTTTCATCCATTAAAAATTAATTAATTGTTACCTATATTCCCTAGTTCCTTAACTAAATTTTATATATAAATATTTGCAATATTATATAAATAAGGTAACCTTATAAGTCTAAACAATAATTTAGACTAGATGTTTTGGTGTAATAAACGGGCTTGTATATTTTATGACAGAATGACGAGGCGGCAAAGTTAAATTACAAAATGGCTAGAGATGATAATATTTTGTTATAAATTGTTCATAATAAATTGTATGTACTCGAACAATTTTGAAACTTGACATTTCAGGAGCTTTGATGTTGACAAATTATATTTCTATGTAAGAAGTCATAAATACGTCGTAATTAACTTCATTTAACTTACTAATTAATTGTTTTCTAATTTGGCAACGGCCAGTTTTCCAGGAAAGTGTTGAAAAATTGAGCATTATAGAAATATTAGCGTCGTGTAGTCCCGGCATAGAATAGGCCTTTTTTTTAATTCCTTTTTTGCGGGTGTTGTAAGAAGCGAGTAATGGAGGGCGAGGGATGGACAGCAGCGTCCTTCTTAAAACATCTCTTAAGCTAACTACTGGCAAAACCCCTAAGGGGGAGGTTTATGTCCAGCAGTGGACAGTTAAAGGCTGTTATGATGAGGAACATTATTAAATTACTAGTTGTATCAGTACATAAAATGTCCTATGTACTAAGTCAGGATACCTACCTGTGTGGGGGAAAAGGAGTTAGTAATGGAGACTGAAAATCCCATTGCTAGCAATATACCCAACCAGGTCGACCTCCACGCGGTTCCCCCTGGAAACTATCATGATTAATTCCTGATGAATTCATCATGATGGGCTGACTGGCCTGTTTTCATTCTCATCGATCACCCTTCACTGGTGCTCCGCCGGCGTATCCCGTTGGCGCGAGCGGAGTTACCAATCCATTTTCATCCAACAAAAAAAAAACCTACCTGTGTATTAAATTTTATATAAATCTGTTCAGTAGTTCTAGCGTAAAAGAGTAACAAACATCTAACTGTGGTATTCTGATAGTTTAGCAGACATTAAATATTATTCTATTCATTAGAAACTTTTGCATTAATAATATTAATATTTTTGAAAAACCAGTCAAACGAGAATAGTTGTCAGCATTCTAATAGTTCAGTAGATATTAGGAACTTTGATTTTATAACTACCACAGCCATAAAAACTTCAATTGTATTTGACCACCCTAGTGGTGTAACAGTTTAAATATCCCGTCTCACATTCCAATGGTCGTAGATACGATATACGCACAATTAAAATATTTGTATTTATGTCGTATTCCTCTTATTAAATTCAATATAAATTATATTAAAAAAAAAAGGTATTTAACTATTTATTATTAGTTGTCAAGTAACTGTATTGCAAGCTTAGTTCAACAATATATGTTGCTATTACTATGTATTATTTCTCATTAAATTCCCATAAGAGATAAATTTTCTAAACTTTTTTTAACATCTTAAACTACCTCAATTAATTTGGGTATGCCAGATGTATGTAAACCGATTTCTCAGTACCCACACACACATAAGTACGTTTGCATATACGCACACCCATATCCATGCACTCACGTACGTACCCACGCACACACTCACACATGTACGTATGCATGTACGCAGACACTAATACATGCATACAAGGTTGCCTACAACACGGTTTCAGAGATGTTTTCTCCTACGAAAACTCAGGTTATGGAATGAGCTCGCTGCCGAGGTTTTTCAAGAGACTATAGCATGGGGTTCATCAAAATGGTAACCATTTCCTATAGAGGGAAAAAGGATTGTTAGCAATGGAGTTTGATAGCCCCATTGCTAGCAATATGCCTTATTAGGTCGACCTTCACGTGGTTCCCCCTGGAAACCATCGTGAACAATTCTTGTTGAATTCGTCACGATGGGCTAACTGACCTGCTTCATCCTCACCTATCACCCCTCACTGGTACCCCGCCAATGTATATTGATAGCGTAGCCGGGGTCACCATGCCATTTTCACCTATTAAAAAAACACTCACCATATGGTGGGCCGTATGCTTGTTTGCCACAAGTAGTCGTAGGTGAAACACCTGTAAAGAGATATTAAAAAGAGTGCTTCAATATCCATAGGAAAGGTATCATGAATATAGTTAATTAATTACAATTATCTAGGGTTTTATCCATCAAATTTACACACGCGTGATCTCAGAACAGCCTTTCCCAAAGTGGGCGATAACGTCCCCTTGTGGGCACTGCAGGCTTAAAGGGAGGCGGTAAGAGACCCAGAAAAAAATGGGGGCGTTGTGTAGAGGCTGGGGGGGTGATTTGTTGATTTTGAAGTAATAGTGGTTTTTAAGTAGGTGAAAAAATGGGGGCGCTAAAAAAAATTATTCTCTAAGCGGGCAGGAGACAAAATAGGTTTTTTTTTGTTGGATGAAAATGGATTGGTAACCCCGCCTGCGCTAACGGGATACGCTGGCGGAGCACCAGTGAAGGGTGATAGATGAGAATGAAAACAGGCCAGTTAGCCTGTCATGATGAATTCATCATGAAGAATTAATCATGACAGTTTCCAGGGGGAACCGCGTGGAGGTCGACCTGGTTAGGTATATTGCTAGCAATGGGATTTTGAGTCTCCATTACTAACAATCCCTTTCCCCTCAGACATATCTTGGTTTGGGAACCCCTGTATTAAAAGGATTGCGGTTAAAGGCAGGGCCGCCTTATAAACATTCTTATGTGCTTAGCAATATAGGTAACACGTAATATAAACTTTAATATCACTTTGGTTAGATCCCGCGACCGAGAGTGGCGTACGATGGCGATAGGAGACGTTCACACCTGCGGCACTATATCAAGGCGGAATTAATTGCATACTCTTTGAAACTCGCTTTAGGACATAAGATACACACGGATTTCTCCGTTAATCCATGAATATTAAAATATATAGTGCTATATTACTTTTTTTTTAAGTATATACTAATAATATGGAGAGGCAAGATTTGATATGTTTGTACGTTTGATTGTTTGTAATGGATAAACTCAAAAATTACTCAACAGGTCTTAAAAATTATTTCACTTATATAAAGCTATATTATCGGTCAATAAGATAGGCTATGTTTTATATTTAAAAAAAAAATAGACATCCTACAAAAATTGCAATAATGTATTATTATTAAATTTTTGATACTTATGGATACAATAATGTAACCTAAAGTATCAAAAATATAGTAT